CCCCAAAACCCCAAAACCCCAAAACCCCAAAACCCCAGACCACAATACTCTAATTGAAAATACAAGCTTGCATAAAAATTAAGATGGGGCTACTCTTCTTCATCTTCATCATTGTCTTCGTCAGAGTCATCATCTTCAGCAGACTCTTGCTCATCTTCTTCTCTGATAATATCCTTCAAATTTGCTTGCTTTAAAATTTCTCTCAACTCATCACCATCCTTAGATTCGTTAAATACCAACTCAAATTTATTCTCAGAGAAATCAGGTATTTGTCCTTTCCTAGAATTAGACCACTCTGGAGCTGGAAAAACAGGGTCTATTGCTACCTTAGCTACATTCTCGACTAGTGCTGGGATAAGTCTTGATAACAGGCTACTAGAAAGCTCAAGGCACGGATTGGTGTTTACTTCTATAAGCCAAACCTTCTGATTCTCATCTACCATGAAATCATACCCAAACAGCTCAAAGGTATGATGGTTTTTATTTGGGTCGATCTGCATATAAGTAGCTTTTATAGTATCAGCTGCCAGCTTCTTCATTTGTGGATAAATCTTGTCAAAGTCAACCTTCATATCTGGTCAATTTACCTCAAAATGCTTCTGAAACTCCTTATAACTGAGCTTATTACCATCCTCATATTTTCCATATGAGTTAGAATATTTTTGTATTGCATCGTTAGTCAGGTGAATATATTTATTTGAGACGTTCTTCAGAGAGAACTCCTTACAAGCTGTTCTGATATACCCATCTTTGTACCAATACCCTCATATATTGCCGTTCATGGAGGTTACAAGAGAGAATCACCTGATATCAAACTTTCTTCTGTTGATGAGCAGAGGATTTTCTATATATTTTTGGACAATGTAGCTCCTCCTCTTTCCATTATTGAGCTTTACATTACTATCTACTAGGCTAATAATTTGCGAGATTTCTCTTCAAACAGTAATTCCATTGCCTCTGTTGGTATTTTCACCAGGTTTTACTATCCAGATATTCTGCAGCTTTTTCTTGCCTTTCACACCTTCTTCAATCTCCTCAAATTTCTTGCTGAAGAGTTCAAACTGGGGGTCGCTAGATCCTTCCTGAATGTGATATGTCAGAGGAATAAAATTAAAAGGTTCCTTTCCAAGACATTCAAAATAAGCCTTCATGTTGTAGTATAGAGCTTTCTTGTTACTCAAATGGAAATGCATCTCCAAATGGTTACAAATCTTCAGCTTGTCTCACTGCAGAGGATCCTTTTTGACAGCTTTTCCTCTCTTTCTTGGATGAGCCATTGAGCTACTCACTTTTGATAACTTTTGGGATGGGAAATTATTCCCAGAAGTTGTTAGACTAGAGGTTGTCGTGTTCTTTGTATCTGAAGTTGATCCACTTTCTTTTAGTGCTGAGTGAGAAGTTGATCCAAAATTAGTAGTATCAAGCTCAGACTCACTTCCATGATCAGCCTTGTTGAGCTTTTTAATACTCACTATAAACTTTCTTCACAAGAGCTGTGTCCATAAGAAATTGACATTTGGGTTTGACTTCTTGGTCCTTTGCCACCACCATCTATTTTTGAGAGCTAATTGGACAAGAAGAGAGTTGTTTCCTCTGCCAATGGCATATTTGAGGTATTTGCAGTTTCCAATAGCGTTAATTTCCATTCCATTTATTCTTTGCTGATTTTCTACGAACTTCCTATACATATTCTCCTTATACTCAAAGATGGAATCCTTATTAGGCTTAATCTCATTTATGGTAAAACGATTCTTTGCTATGGTCTTAACTTTATCTGATTTATATTTGACTGTTCTCTTGATAACATTAGGCTTCTTCACCTCAACTGATTTTTGCTCAACTTGCTGAGCTTTTTGTTCCAGCTCAGCTTTAGTTGGAAATAAACTCATAATTGAAGTTCTCTTCAGAGGTTGTATAGGATAATCCATCAGTTTCTTGATTCATTTTATCAGATCCTTGCTTCCAATTTTAAACTCACTCTTAATAGTTTGTACTAGCATGTAAGTAAGGACTCAGTAGTATCAATCTTTCTCCCACTGATTGTTCCAATTCATGCAGTTATTAATAGCCATCAAGGCAAGTTCTCTATTATGAACCTTGCCACACTTCATCAGTGCATACACATAAGCTTTATGGTGAGGATTCAAGTTCTTTATAATCCAGAGTGAGTACTTATTGACTATATTACCATCGATCAAGATATCATCATTTGAATAAAACTCTTCGAACTCACTATACATTCTGTTGATGTCATTCCTGAGCACATAGGATGCATTTGACCGTGACTTATTTAGCTTTACCTACGTCTTCACCAAGGCTGTTATCAAAGAACAACCTAATTAAAAGTCCTTTCAAAGAGTTGAGTTCACTCTGCTCAGAATAGCTCTTGCCGTTCTTCCAGAGTAAGTCTTTATTTTGGTAGGAATTATCCACCCTATTTTGCTCTATTTTCGTATTTGTGAAGCTTGCAAAATTGCCTATGCTTTAGAACTCTTAGGGCTTACTGTTATGATTACAATTGGGGTTACGATTCATGTTTCTCCTCTTTGGGGCCACAGGTGATTTCTCATTACTCTTTGCGTGAGGAAGTGGCGCTTTGAGAGAATTCTCAGAAATAGTAACAGTTATTTTCCTATGTAGCTGTCACATCATCGGGATCCTTAGATTTCGTAGGTAGCTAACCCATGGTTTGTCGATATCCTCATCAATTTTCGAATCTTTGTTTTCTTCTTTACTTGAATTATCTTTTATAGTTTTTCTCTCTTTTGTGCACTAGAAGAGAGAGATTTACGGATTCTTGATCCTTTTCTAGAGTAGTTCTGGTGGGTCATAACTTGAGTATCCCCATAATCATCCTTTGAGGCTAATTTCTTGAACTTATTCATTTTACAAGAGTTGATTTTGTCTTTCTCGGTTTCTACCATATCTCGATCCTTGGTCAAACATCTTGACTGGATTATGCTATCAAGTATTTTATCAGGATTGTTTTTCTTGGAGTTCATATCTCCATCCTTGCCAATATTCTTGTCAGACTCCTTAGGATCTTCTATTATTGAGTTAGAAAAGAGGAGAGTGTGATTTAATACAATTTAGCCTAGTCAAACTTACTGATCTTCTTAGCTTGTGAACTCTGAGTTGATCTTCTTTTGTATGATGAAGAGCTGTTCATTAAGGAGGCTACTTTTCTGGAATCCGGAGACATTTCCCTATCCCTTACGCCTTTCTTTGATGAGCTTATCTATAACTTAGTATGGTATGTCCTACAACTTTTGATATTTTTGCTAGCTTAGGAGCACATTTTGATTTTTCGTTTCTTATTTTAGTATTGTACTCTATTTTCCCATCTTTAATAGTTCTTGAATAAGGTTCATCATCTCAAAAATTATTCTGGTCCCTCTCTAAGACCTGGGCTCCATCATTCCTTGTGCTGGAATCCTGCTTATTTTTGATATGAGAGACCTTCCATTGAGATTTTCTGTATAGCTGATTTTTCTCTATTAAATGTAAAATCCCTTCCTCCAAAATTTAGAGTCTTACCTTCTTTGGAGGTGAAAGTCCTTCTTACGACTTTCGAATTTTCTTCTTTTGGCTTTGAACTCGAACTGTCTAAACAGATATTATCCAAAACACAGAGAGAGATTTAAGTTTATTAATAACGGCTTGACTGAATAATTAAAGAATAGGAGATATAGTACGGTCTACACCACAACTTACTTTCCTATTTTGGGTAGAGCCAGAGAGGACTCCATCTGGCTTCTGATCTCGCTGGCTTTCTTATTATGATTATTCCCCATAGTAAATTGATAGCCTTTGGTATGTCCCGCATTCTTCATCTGAGCTGTCTGATTCTTAATAAAGCTATTAGAAATGCTTGGCTTCATCTTCTCACTTTGGTAGATCTTCTTCCCTGGGATTCCTTTAGAAGTAGCATAATTCTCAGGAAGTAAGTTTGCCTTTGACATTGTTATAGTTTTATTTTTATATGAATTCATCTCTCTTGATGGTTGATGGGGTTTTGGGGTTTTGGGGTTTTGGGGTTTTGGGGTTTTGGGG